TAACGTTCTACTGGTTTTATAAGCAAAAAAAATAAAAATCTGTGAAAAATAGATTCAAAAGTTAGATTTTTTTAGATTTGTCACCTTTTTGCAAAGAGAAATTTTCGTAGAAGACTTAACTGCAGAATTTCTTTATGCGCTACCCGTTAATAAGTTCCGGTATAATAATGGCGTGATTATCCTATCCATTGTTTCTTTTCTCTAATATAATCAAACATTTGTTGTGTGGATAGAAAATGATGTTCTTCGTAACATTTCTAGCTTTGTGATCGGTAAGACGCCGTCAACAGATCAAGTCTACGATGAATAACATTCCAAAAAATGATAATAGACTACTGTCAATTGATAAAAAGCAAAACAGAACAAATAATGACGATTGTGTTTGCTGTCTGGTGACAATTCGAATTCAAATATCCACAATGCGAAAATAAAAACTGATCTATGTTCTTAGTGAAAGTCTATGATAATGTTTTACTGTAGCCAATGACTCACAGATTTTCTGATTGTTGATCAATTCGATTGACCACTACTGTGACGAAAGATTTTCGTTTCTCTGATTTTTCAAGCAGAACAAACAGTATGTTGAGAATTAGTAGTAGTTACATAAGTATACTTTTCACGCACGTATCTGTATATAAATACGATCTTTGTCTATTGTCTTGACCAAATTATAAAATTGTCTTGTGCAAAATGTCATGTTTTGGGCTATTGATGTAGCGTAACAATTTGTATTTCTCTTCAAACCATGTCACATTATTTGTAACTTTCAGAAAACGTCTACTTATGCCTAATTCGCATGAAACAATTGATAGAAACTAGAAAATGATGGATATTTTTAACATGGTTTCTAGCTAGGCCTCTGAAAATCTTCTTTGTTTTAAAAAAATTTTAGTAGTTTTTGACTACAGGTCTGTAAATGATATATAACTCTATTTGAACAAAGAATTTCAATAATACAATTATCTGTTTCTAGTATCAATCTTCTGTCAGAAAGTTTTAGCACTTCTGGTAAACTATTAGATAATTATCACCACATGAAACCACATGTGGTTCACCATCACAAATATTCAATGTTTCTCAATGACAAACTGTAAAGCGGAGTAGCTGTAGAGAGAAACTTTTTTTCAAGTTTTTCATTAATATTAACTTGTTCTATTTCATGAATAAAAAACATTAATCGCTTCTTAAAAACTAACTTCGGACGTTATCGAAAATTTTGTAGTCATCGATAGTGTACCATTGGTAATTATGAAAGAAATTTCTTACCAAAGTTTAAAAAAACTTTTGCGGTAAAATTTCGAGACTATCAGTAATGGTATACGTTTTTACCGTTATCGCTTATCCCTAATTTTAGTATGAAAGGCGATAAAATGATAACTTTGTCTTTCACCAACAGATCATACTTTGATGATGAAATGTTATCTACACGTATCACATATTTCTCTTACTCATTTGTACACGGATGTATTGCAAACAACTTAGCTGTAAAAACTTTGTCAGATTGGTCTGTTATGTCTAATAATAATCTTAATAAAGCTACAGTCTCGGATTATTCAGTCAATACTTCTGGTAAAGCGTTTCTCCTTTATAGTCGTTTTGCAATAAGAATAAACTTATGTACTATAGCTTTTTTAAGATTTTATAAGAGTTTGTATGACCTTCTCCTAAATGTGAACTGTGAACAATGTGAGTTGATTCATCATGTGGACGATCTATTGTTGCTGCTAATCATTTAACTTCAATTTGTTGAGAGATCTATAACAGAATAAACACTTTAACTCTTAATATGTAAAATAATTCAATTTAACAAAATAATGTGGTTACCACGGATGTAAAAGATCAAATAACAATGTCTTGTTACAATTAATAGCTGCTATAAAAGGGAAAAGCTAATTTCAAATCTCCATAAGTTGAATGGTAGAAAATTGGTATATTAAAACTAATAAATTAGCGACATTGACCTAAAAAAAATTAAATCTCATTTCACAAGAGTTTTATGAATATATTTTAACATTTGAATTTATTATGAGACAAATATCTTTATTCTCCTTTGAGTCTAGCATTTATACTCATCTCATCTGCTATGAACGCCTCCAAACGGGGTTTAACTCATATGGAATATACAGATGAAAAGATTTCAAAATGAAAATTCTATTATTACAATGAACAAAATAAATAGCCATTTCTAAATAGAAAAGGCGATAAATGTTTTTATTGTGCATGGAAAGGAAAGAAGATATATGTCACGATTATTAAGGAAACTCTATCATTGTTTAATTTTCGATAGAAATGTGACTACTACTCATAGTGATGAATATTCTTAGAGAAAAATAAATATCCAACAATGGATTTTCATAATCAATCAACACCGATATCAACAAAGATAATAAAATTTTGTTATATGTTGTTTGAGAAGCGAACAAACAGATAGATATTTAAATAAAAGCCTATGCAGTTCTGATGAATTTAGATGTAATAGATGATGAGGAACTTGAGATTAGAGAAGTATTCTGAATTCAGCAAATAATTAATGCAATTTAACGTACAGGAATGAATGATGAAAGAACTAGAAAATATACACTCTGTTTTACCACTTTGTATCATAAAGTGGCGGCAGACATACAATTATCTCATTATGACCTGACATAATTATAATTTGTTCTTGGAACATGATCTGTTCAAATTTTGATCAATATTTGCTTTCCACTGAATCTATGAGTATTCTAACTGAATCAACTGATATTACTATCATGTCCATTACACGTGATTGTTCAGAATTCTTGACAGTGAATGTCAATCGTCTACTTCGTCAAATTCTAAGTAAAACATTAACATTTACTTTACGTTCTCGTCGTACCTATGTTTTATGTGATGACTTTCAATTAACGTTAAAAGCTCATTCAATTGTACCAGTTTATGGTTATTGTTTACCACATGATCAATATCAATCAACTTATCAACTTATTCGTCGTGGTACACAATATTTATATTTTAAAAAAGGTTTTGAAACTGATTTGAAACAAATCATTTATGGTGATGTTAGACAATATTCAAAAGTTCCACAGAACATTTTAATTTATGTTGAATGGTTGGCCATCCATGGTGTTCAAATGAATAAGACAAAGAGAGAACTAAATGTTGATAAAAAATTAATTTTCTCTGTATTAGCTGTCGAACAGCAACTTTACTTAAACTACTTAAAAACATTATGTATTAATAATTGTGAACGCAAACGTGAACAAGGTTTAACATTTTTATGTAAGGATACATTAGCATTAGAAACAATATTACCCTATTTAACAACATATTGTCTTACAAATATTCGTGAATGTTTCAATAAAAACTCAATCTCTTTAGATCAATTAGTACTATATATAAATATGATTGACTCTCTACTAGATAATAAACTCGAATCAATTGAAAAATATGTTCATCATTGGTTACCAATGATTCTTACATGTATGTTATTCAAGTTTAATTTATCTGAAACCGATGAACAAATGTGGAAAATGAGATTGACATGTTCAAATTCGTGTATTAAAATAATACATAGATGTCAAAAATTTATTTATGTTCAATTTGAACATCGTCTATTTGAAATACTCATTTATACTATGATCAATGATCAGAATATAACGTTGTCAATATTCTATGCAATATTATACATATTTAATCATTTAGGAACGTATGCATGTAAAACATTTTTGATACCAATCGTACGACATATAGCGTTAAAATTAGAAAAATTTTTAATAGATGAAAGACATCTTTTCGATACAAAATGGAAAATATATTTGAAAAAGACTGAAGATTTAATTGAATCAATATTAGATCGGATTATTTCTAAATAATTACGAAAATACAATTGAATTTTTCACATTTATTTTGTTCACTGCTATACGCGATAACATTTGATGTGCATTTCTGAAATATTTTGATATCTAATCGATACTCACAATTACTGTATCTGTGTCTTTGCACTAGAATTCTATTCTCGATACATGTGACACATATAATATTTGAGTAAGAGTAGACACACTTATTCATGATGGTAGAAATAATAATTGATCGATTATTTGAGGATTATGATACTATTTATTAAAAATAATAATACACTAAGATGAAAATATGATTCTCGCTTAATCTTTTTCTTGTTCATTGTATGATTATTACTCTTACAAATTCTCCAACAATAGGAAAACAAAATCGGAAAACAGATATTGTTTAAAATATCTTCTGAAAAAGAGTTGTATTCAGTCAAGAATTTTCAGCCTGTTTATTTTCATTTGATTTTTAAAATAATTTCGATGCACAATTTGAATTTGCAAATGCGAGATCCTCTGGTACTCAAAAAAAAAAAAAATACACAAAGTAAAACAAGATCATCAAATCGTATGTTAACGAAACATTGTTTCATGGAAAAAATATCGTATGCATTCGAACAAAGTGAGATTTTTTAGACACATTTAATTACATCTATGTTTGAAATGTATATTCAACTACATGAAAATGGATTAAAATAGATTTATTTAATACAATTATCTTTGGTCTAACCAGAAATAACGTTTCTTAACATTTATTTCATCATGTACATCAATGTTGAAATAAATAAATAATATTATTTAGAAGGATTATGTAGTTGACACCATGATAACATTGGTTAATGTCAAACCGAATTGCTGAATTAAAGCGAGACACTTTTCGATCTATAAAATACAGTTTATTTTAAAAATCTTTTTTCTACTCTGTTAATAAATATTTGATCCATAAAAACTAAAATAAATTTAGAAATATGTAGAAATTGTTGTTTCCATTGTGAACATATGTACATGATTCAACAATGCTCAGATTCAAGATATACACTTTCTTTACAAAAGCATAACTGAATACACGCAAAAATCACAGAATACATATCTATAATATTGAATCTATATATTGAATATGTGTAACACAGTTGCTGATGTTATACTTGGTATTGTTCAATGTTGAATATATTTCAACATTGTAGTTACATATAAAATTCATAAAGCCAAAAAATGTCATGTTTAAAAGTTGGAGAATATTAACACTTTAGTTACTCGCATTTGAGCGATGTATCTACATCAAGCATATAAAATTCTGATATTTTTATTAAATAGAAGTTCAAATAAATACAATTGAACTGTTTCAGACAGAAAAAGAAGAGAAAAATAAATATCACGACTGATACAGGCTACATAATCATTGAGAGATAAACTGTGATTAATAAAAAAAAAAGTTAATTTGAATCATGATTTCGAACGCAAGTCCAACAAGCTGATGAATCATTATTTCTAAAAACAAGAGATGAAATATGAAAATGTTTTGAAGACAGATATCTACGTACATCATTGTTGAACAAAATAGACAACACATTGAATTACAATGAATACAATTCGATGTATGCTTATGACAGAATGGCTTCTCACAATAACTACATCGACTCGACGTGGTTG